GCCGCGCCCCCCCCCGCCTGCTTCTCTCCGGGCCCCAGGCTGGACATCGGCGGGGGGGGCCCGGGAGGAGGTGGGGGGGCGATTTCTGCCCCCCCCCGGCGCTGCAGCCTCCCCGGGGAGCAGCGCCCCTGTGACCCCCCCCACGTGGTGCCGGGGGAACGGGGCTGTGGCCCCCCCTTTGGGGCGCGGGAGCTGACCCGGGCTCCAGTCACGTGGGTGTCTCGGGGAGGGGGGGCTGCGGGCCACCGGGGCGCGGGAGTGTCACGTGCCCCCTCCCCCCGCCGGGGAGCCGCGCGCCCTCGAGGGGTGGTTCCCGCGGGCGGGGCACGCACAGAACGTGTCCCGCACGCGGGGGGGCGGGGCGGCCTGAGCCCTGCTCCCCGCGCTGCTCGCTGCCTGGGGGCGGGGCCGGGTGCCCGCTGAATCCCCCCTGTGCCCGGGGGGGGATGCTCTGGCCCTGGCTGCCCGCAGTGCCGCCCAGTGCCCGGCTGTGCCTCCTGCAGAGGCCGAGAGCGTCCTGGGTGGGGGCGTGTGGGGAGAGGGGGGGAGTGGCTGAGAATTGGGGGGCAAACAGGTGACAGACAAACCAACCGACAGAAAAGCCTCCCTGCCTGGCCCCCAGCTGAGCGGAGAAACGTCCCCCTGGCGCCAGAGCACTGCAGGGCCCAGCCTAGTCGCTTTGTGCGCTCCAGCCCCACGGCGTGGGGAGGGGGCGACGGTGGAGGAGCCCCACGCACCCAGGCCTTAGGTTCCCCACCCGCCTTCTAAGCACTGAGCATTTTAGGCCTGGCTGGACTAGAGAAGGGGGCACCAGGGGAGTTGCCGCTGAAGGCGCGCGGCCGCGCACAAACACCCCTCTGCCGCCCACCTCCCTTGCGGAGCCTTGCAGCGGCACTCGCCTTCCTGCTGGCCGGGGAATGGCGCGGTTGTTTTCCTGATCTGGTGGGGGGCGGCTGCCCCGTTGTGTCCCTGCTGGGGCAGCCTCGCCCCACCTCCAGCTGCGATTGGGGCTTCTGTTTGTTTCTGTTCATACAGTTTGCTGCAGTTTTCCATCCCGGAGGACCTGCGTGAAGGTGGTCCGACCAGAGATACGGGGATCGATTTTTAAGAGTAAGAGGTTTTGTTTTTAAAGCAGGGGTGAGGAACCTAATACCCCAGCTCACGTGAGTGTGGCCCTCGAGACTCAAGGTTCCCACACTAACGCTCTAGCTCCCCTCCAGATTGGTGATAGAAATGTAGCCGTGTTAGCCTGGGGTAGTTGAAGCAAAATGCAGGACAATGTAGCACTTTAAAGACTAACAAGATGGTTTATTAGATGATGAGCTTTCGTGGGCCAGACCCACTTCCTCAGATCAAATAGTGGAAGAAAGTAGTCACAACCATATATACCAAAGGATACAATTTAAAAAAAATGAACAAATATGAAAAGGACAAATCACATTGCAGAACAGAAGGGGGATGCGGGGGGGTGGGAAGGGGGAGGAAGGAAGGTAAGTGTCTGTGAATTGCTGATATTAAAGGTAGGGAGAGTGGGATGTTTGTGAGTTAATGGTATTACAGGTGATAATTGGGGAAACTGTCTTGGTAATGGGTGAGAAAGTTCAAAGACTTGTTAAGTCCTTGTTGGTAAGTGTCGAATTTTAACATGAATGACAGTTCAGAGGATTCCCTTTCAAGTGCAGATGTAAAAGGTCTTTGTAGCAGAATGCAGGTGGCTAAGTCATTTAGAGAGTGTCCTTTCTGGTTAAAGTGGCAAGAAACTGTTTTCTCTTTGTGATCTTGTCTGATATCTGTTTTGTGGGCATTAATCCTTTGGCGAAGTGTCTGAGATGTTTGTCCAATGTACATAGCAGACGGACACTTTCGGCACATGATAGCGTAGATTATATTTCTGGATGCGCAGGAATATGTGTTCTTGATCTTATAACTCACTTGGTTAGGTCCAATAATGGTATCAGCAGAATGAATATGTGGACAAAGCTGGCAACGGGGTTTGTTGCAAGGGAAGGTACCAGGGTTGGTATTAGTGTGGTATGTCCTGTGGTTGTTGGTAAGAATCATCTTGATTTTCATTTTCATGTTACCAAACTGTATCCGACATTAAGTCCCAGAAGACATAATTACAACACAAGTATTAACCTGCTCCCCATGGAGGGGGAGGATTTCAGAATACTAGTTCAGAGAGGTACAGCTTACACTTCCTGTGCCCCTTCAGGTCAATTTTACTAAAGTGTTGCAAATTTTTCTCTTAAAACCATACTATTGGTAGGGACTGGAGAAGATAAGGATTATACCCATCTTTCACTTAGCATTTCCTAGCCATTAGGAAAAAAAAGGTCTAAATGTATTTCATTTTAGTATCAGATTTGCAAAAACATCATCATATGTAAATAAACATTAGAATGTGCACTCTGGGGATCACACAATCAAATAAGTTTCTCACATTCTAGCTGGGTTTTCACAATTCAACACTCTACTTAGAATATACGGATTTGGAGTACATAAACTTCAAGATTCAGATTCTCTCTATTGCCATGTTAACACCAGGGGAAAGTAAGTAAATCTTCTAAGTTAGTCACACAGTTAAAATTGTGTAAGAAGGGGACTAGCACCTGAGAGATTCATCCTTCCCACACCCATCTGGATTCAGTTTCAATCTTTGTCCACTTTTGTCAACAAAACCCTGTAGTCTGGACACACCCTTTGTGAACAGTTCTAAAGATAGCATCATTAGCAATTATGTTTATATTTACTCTTTGGAGTTTTGGGAAAGGTTTAGATAGCCCTCATTATATTAATTCTGCAACAATTGCTTGCATCCAAGACAGAAATTCACAATGTAAACTCTGGTCTCTGTTCTGCTTGAAAATCAAAGTATCTTACTTTATTGTGTGAGTAAATGCATGTTATTCAGGTTTTATTTACCGTGTAGGAACAGGAACCTCTGTGAGACCTGAAAGAAGCACTGCAGGGGCCAGTCTCACAAAAGCAATGATTGGCCTTTCCAAAAAATCTACTTCTCCAATCAACACATTTGATGCTTCTGCTCCTGTGGGAATTTTCCTCATGAAGTTCATATCAACCTATTACATAGAGATGAAACAATTGTTTATTGCTTTATTATTCAAAGGATTTTTTTAAACGGAATTGACTATTCAACTTTTATTTTGATGAAAACAATATAAATGCAAAAGAAATATTTTAATGTACAGGGACAGAAGACAAGCATATGAAATATACAAAATATGTCTGTCAGCAGTACTTTATTAGTACGTTGTTTTTATCGTTACATATCAGAACTACTATTATTTATTATATTCTAAAAAGTTTCCGCTACATAATCACTTTTCCACAGTGACTTCTCAGGACAGAAATATTTTCTCTATGGAGGATGACGTTACTTGACAGCAAACCAACAAGACAATAACTAAGGAGAGTTCATATAATTATATGCAGTTTCTTGAATTTAGTTATTTTACATTTTATTAATGGAATTTTAAATATTTTTAAAAGGAATGAATAGCTAATATTTTCATTCACAAAAAATAAACAGCTGAAATAAAATAAAGACACTTTTCTGCATATAATTAAAGAGAAATGTTACAAAACTATACAGCACATGAACTCTTTGTTTACAAACAGATACACAAAAAGCACCAGAAACTAACACTAGTAACATTGTTATCTAGAAAACTTACAGCTGGCCTCTTGAATCCCACACCAAGTGTGCCACAACTACAGTGCCATGAGGCTGACTCCTGCTCAACAGGAGACAAGGCAGTGTACAGAAGGACAGGCCAAGCAAAAATATAAAAACTGTGACAGAGTAGGAGAAATAAATGGTACCTGCCATGATTTGTTGAGAACTATTATCTAAATGAGATTTGTTTCAGCACAATAATTTAATATAATTTTTTACTGTATAGATTACACTAGATAGCTGAAATTTGCATTAAGAGCCACAGTGGTTCTTAGAACTCAAAATATTTAAATTACAGAAGATAGGAGAGGTTAACAGCAGTATACCATGTTTGCTTCCAGAAGTAACACAACTGATGCTCTTTACCTTTAAGATTTCCATGGCTTTTACAGAACAAATGCGTAAAAGCCCTTTTTCTGAAAAAGGAGTCTTAAGTTTCTTAAGAAAAACAAAGTCACAAAACTTAAGTCATTTTATGCAAAAACACCCACAACACTTACGTTTTGTAAAAACATTTGCTGTGTATCAGGCCTGAAAATATTATGTATCACTCAATCAGCAAATACAGTGGCATATGTCAAGTTACATGAAATACTGCACAATTGAAGTGGTAAAATAGGAAGTCCAGACACAGGGCAAAAGTTACCAAAATATTTAATGGCTAATTCATTTTCATCTATACTGCATTCTATATGTTGCACTTAACCCCAATTAAGGTAGAAATAGCAATCAGTTTAGCTATCACACTCAGTTACATAGCCCTACTTACTAATTATGTACAGAAAATATGTAATGTTATTTACCTTACTGAAATCAACAGTACTGTTTTCTCTGCTTCCTCCTGTTCCATTACCTTTAACATCTCCACTTTTTGCAACTTCCAAATTTCCAGGTGCTGATTGTGGAGATGCTAGAAGACCTAGATTTAAACAAAATGCACACTTTCAAAATGTAGTTCACAGACAATGGACTAAACAAGACACACACAATGCAAGAACTCAATGTGGCAGCTTGCTAAAAGCAAATGTGCAAGTTAATAAATGAAAGTGCTCCATATTAGTAGCACATACTCAACATAAAAAAGTTACTTTATTTTGGAAAATAATTTTTAAAAATTGTTTTAAATGATTAAAAATCAGATGTTGCCTAAATGGTGGCCATTTGCAAGAGACAAGAAAAGAAAACAAAGAGTGACTTTTTGGAAAGGACAAAATGTACAAATTTTAATTCTAATCACCAATGCTTTGTGAATAGAACTTACATGATAGAAGTGCCTCAGACATTTGAAAGTCCTAGAATTACAAACAAAAAGAAAAACGCAACCACCACACATTTTAGCACATTATCTGTAAGTTGATATTTTGATTTTTAAAAATGAAATTCAGGCTTTGACCATATGAGGATTAAGACACTAGTGGTCAGCCAATCTAGTGTAACTCTCTGTTGCCGATAGGATACATGGATGTAAATGATCATTTGCATCTGTGACGCTTAACCTGATTTGAAGCAGTTTACCTTATTTAGTATATGGCCCTGACTGGCCAAAGATTTAAGTTTAAACTGTTAGTGAATGCATTCTAACATGTTTGAAAGAATCTAGTATAGACACAGCAACATGTATTTTCACATGCTAAACTGAATGAGTTAAAAGTCAACCTTCCCTCTAGGCTTTAACTCAACCATCTTACAACACAAATTAAAGTATACATTGCCCTGACTATGCTAGACTCTTTCTAATCCTATATAACTATACCAAAGAAGATTCAAAACCAAAAGTTCAATCATCCTTTAGAGGTAAGAACGCAATTCCAATTCTTTTATTTTATAAGCATTTAAGACATTCTAATAAAATAAAATCAATTATATTAAATAGGCTTTAATTTTCTTTGCAAAGTCTATACTGTGCTAGCAATAGACTATTATGTCAATATCAGTTAAAATGGCACAAATCACATTCGTCCATTTGCTCTGAAGTGTATATTATTCACCAAAAAGGAGAAACCCATTGGCCCATCAATCCAATCCATAAATAGGCAATACAACATTTATTAAGAAAAAATTCTTAATGTTTAGGAAGAGTTTATAAAGCAAACAGAGATGGAATAAAACTACTACATGTAAAAAATAGAAAGTCTACATCATCGTATATAGGAGGGACAAAACAAAACATGTTCAGATAAATGCAAGAAGGCCACATTCAGTCCCTCTTCACCTTTTTGCTTGTTGGAACAATAATGTAAAAATACACAAGTGTAAATTGTGAAAGATGTGCAATTGTGTGTCATTTTACATCTGGATTCCAACTATCCCATCAATGCCCTAATGCAGATTACTCACAACAAGAGATGAATTAATATCTAAATGTGAGGATGGTTAAAATAGGAGGAGGAAGATAGGGAAATAATCTCACAGGTCACACTCCCTTTTCCTATCTAGACAGAAGTTAGTTGGTTACAGCCTTCCCAAGTTTGTAGAACTGGTACCCTAAATATGATCCATTGAGACCCATACAAAAACAGTAACTGTAAATTGCCCTTTCACCCATTTCTCAGTCTTAGCATTAGGATAATATTGATCTTTTATGAGGGAAGTCAGAATTTCTCAAACTGTTTTCAGCCTAAGTTCAGGAAGTCTTAATGCTAATATTGAATGGGGATAAGAATTTCTAAGTCAAAGGATTATTAGCTTTTGCTTTGTCGTGATCCTACTAAAAGAATAGATGCAAACTAAATTTAAAAATTCTAACAATCAGAAAGATTTCAACTTTCTAAACTCATAACAAAAATGGATGCATTTCCATAAATTTTTGAAGTTTTTCCTGCTGGTTTTAAATCAACCAATGCTCGAAAATACTTAAATATAAATTAGCTTCTTTGGCTTAAGCTACATAATTGAAATTATGCTATCTTCACAAACTATATCACAAGCTCAATACCAAAAAGAGTCCTTCAGCACAGCTACATAAATTTTCCTTTATTTAAAAAAGATAGCTAGGGCTAAAATATCCCAAACTATTTGCCTAGAACCAAGTATTTCTCTGAAGTTTAATTTATATTTTGCACACAGTGGAACCTCAAAGTTACTAACACCTTGGAAAGGGAGGTTACTAGTAAAATCAAAACATATGCAACTCTACACAAAACTTTATGGTTGTTCTTCCAACAATTTACAGCTGCACACTGACTTCATATAGCTTTGACATTTTACTGTGCAGAAGAAAAATGTTGCTTTAAAAAAAAATTAAAATACAGTCCTGTACTTATTTGCCTTTTTTGGGGGGGGGGGGGAGAAAAGGGAGCTGGGGCCTGTCCTGCTGCCTGATGATGTATTTCCAGCTTCAAACGAAGTGTGTATTTGATTGGTTAGTTTGTTACTCTGGTGTTTGTAATTCTGAGTAAGGATGTTAAATTGTGGTTATTTGGCTAAGCAGGTAGTCGATACAATTTATATCAACTACACGATTAGTCAATAAGGACCTCTCTGTACAGCTGCAGTAGGGCTAGCTCCCAGAGCCACATTGAGACAGGACTTCAGGCTCTTACTACCTTTAAAATGCAGAGGTGCAGCAGTCCCGGAGCCGGCGCAAACTGGAACTGCTTGGTCCCAACTCACACCAGGTCCAGCAGCCCCTGTTTGCGAAAGGGATGTAAGCTACTAGCTGATGGTCCAATAAGCATCAACTTATTGGATAGTCAAGTGGTCATTCAATTAGCTGCTTACCCCACCCTTGCTGCCTCTACCAGAGCAGCAGCAAGGGGGAAGCAGGCTTAAAAGCTGGCTCCCCCCTGCACTGTCTCCGCAGAAGGCAGGGGAAATAGAGACATCCCTGCTGCTGTGTGTCTCTATTTGAAACGTACAAGAGCCGTAGACAGCTCTTGTACATTTCAAAAGGAGAGACGCAGTGGGATAGCGAGCGCACCTCTATCCTTATCCCTAACCCTCTGCTGACTCTGGTAGAGACAGCGCAGCGGGGTGTGGGGGAAAGAGGGGTGGTGCAGGTGGCACTACAGAGACAGTGCTGGGGTGAGCCAGCTTTTAAGCCAGCTTCCCCCCAACACCAGCTCCTGTTCCCCCTTTGCTGCCTCTCATACAAAGGTGGTGGGGGTGCAAAGAGTAGAGTACTCCACTTGACTACCTGATAAGCTTATGCTTATTGGGTAGTTGAGTAATCAACTATTCGCTTCTGAGGTTCTATTATATTTCCAATTCAAAAGGACTCTAGAAGAAATCATGATAGAAAAAAAACAGTCCTTTCTTTCATGCCACAAATATGATCCTCTTGGTAGACATTTACTGCACTGTAATTATGTGTGTAAGCTTTGTAGCTAGCCCCATCTCAAAGGGTGATATCTGTGGTAGCTGACTGCATATTTTCTGAGTTCTGGATCCTATTTCTGACTTTTGATAAGATGAGATCAACTCAACTAACTTCCTTAATGCATCAGGTACCCCCTTCCAGCTACTCATCTTTATTCTCTTTAAATAAAGGAAATAACTCAAAGCTAAAGCTTAGTTCTTCACTATGTTTATTGTTGACTTCCCTTTGTTTCATTATTTAAATTGCTCACTTAGGGTATGTCTACACTTGCACCCTCTTTTGAGAGAGGGATGCAAATGCAGACATTTGACATTGCAAGTGAAGCTGGGATTTCAATATACCGTGCTTTATTTGCATGTTCATGTTATGGCGCTATTTCGAAATAACAGACGCTGTTAAGACGCGGTTATTTTGAGAGAAAACCCTTCTCTCGAAATAATTAGTAAACCTCATTGTATGAGGAATAAGGGTTATTTCGAGAAGGGTTTTCTCTCGAAATAACCGTGTGTTAACAGCATCTGTTATTTCGAAATAGCGCTATTTCAAAACACCGCCAAAATGTAAATATGCAAATGAAGTTCAGGGTATTTAAATCCCAGCTTCATTTGCAATTTCGAATGTCTTCATTTGCATCCCTCTCTCGAAAGAGGGTGAAAGTGTAGACATACCCTTAAAGATATCAGTGGACACTCCTTGCTCAGGCAAGATTCCCAATAGGTAAAGGGAATCCTTACTGTGATTTTGTTTTAATGTCAGATTGTCATTTAAGTTTATAAACAATGAGTAGTCCTATAGCACCTTAGAGACTAACAAAAATATAGATATAGTATCAGAAGCTTTCATGGGCAAAACCTACTTCTTCAGATGAGATGAACTCAAGTCATATATACAGGCAGTCCCCGGGTTACATGGATCCGACTTACATCGGATCCCTACTTACAAACGGTGTGAGGCAACCCCGCACTAGCTGCTTCCCCCAGCAGACCAGGGAGACGCGAAGCTAGCACCCGCCCCCCCCCAGCAGACCAGGGAGACGCGGAGCGGCTTTTCTCAGCAGACACCTCAGCTTGAGAATAAAGGACTGAGGGAAGTGAGGTGTGGGAGCTAGCTTCGCGTCTCCCTGGTCTGCTGGGGGAAGCAGCTAGTGCGGGGTTGCCTCACACCGTTTGTAAGTAGGGATCCGATGTAAGTCGGATCCATGTAACCCGGGGACTGCCTGTATATATATTTTTTTTGTCTCTAAGGCGCCACAGGACTATGAATTGTATTTAAAGTTACAGACTAACACTGCTACTCCTCCAAGACTTTTTAACTTTATAAAAGCACTGGGGAAAAGTAAATCAATGGCTATAAGTCTGAAATAAGTCTGAAGAGGCAGAGCTATGATGTATATGACACACTGAAAACTGTATACATTATATATCTACAGGTATAGATACTGATATATCAACATACACTCTATCCAGCCATCTGGCATTCTACAAAGAGACAACTGAAAAAGCTGAGTAAAAAACCTTTTTGATAATGCTTCTCCAAAATTGCATTGAGAAAGTAGCAGGTTACTCTCCTACTTTAAATTGTCAACAGAATTAGTGCATAGGAGAAAGCAAACTCCATTTGTGAGGGAACAATTCTTTTCTTTCTTGTCCTGAATCTGTTAGCTCTAGCCCAGTAACTACTCCCTGGCATAGAAAGCACGTGTCCTTTGTTTTCCAGGCTGTCAGACAAAGAAAAACTTATTTTATCTCTAAGCTGGAATATTGAGGGAAACATTGAGCATACCTAGCCACTTTCTTGATGGCATCATGAAAAGCAGATGCATCAATTCCATTTGGTGGAAGGGGATTCCTGGTATAGATAAGTAAGGTACTTCCAATGGGTAGGTTTCTACTTTATTACAATTTTAATAAATTATTGGCTGCTATGGAAATGCAGAGCAAAGCTATTCTAAATTTAAAAGTGTTACCATTTATGTTTCTATCAATTAATGAAATTAAAAATAAAATGAATATAGAACAAAAAAATCTTCAAAGCCTCAGAAAAAAATACAAATATGTGTTTGTTCACTTATTTTTGCTATCAACAGCCATTCATAAAAAGTTTGCATTCCTCTTTTTTACCACCATAGTTGGCAGAAGAGCAAAAGATGATGATTTTGGCACTTATTATGGCTATTTCTGTTCCCAAACTGTGCATTTCAATACTCAATAGCATGTACATTTCTGAAACATATGAATTGCCTTTTCATATGAAAAACCCTAATTTTACAAAAAAAATTGTAAAGCTAAACATCAAAATTTTAAGAAGTTAACTGTAGCATTTTGTGATAGGGTTTGGATCTAATATCTGGGCTACAAACAAACGGATATGAAAAAAAATCATTTCTATACCAGCTCTCACTATTTGGACTCCTTTTAGCAATCCCATATATACTGAACGTCTGGACACTGGATAGAAAAACAAAATATCAGACATTAGAACTACCTCAGGGTATATCTCTTAAAGACTGGTCCAAAGAAGGTATATGATCCATAGAGCTTATAAGGGGCATGTAATAGCCAAAAAGGTTGCATTTTTTCATGTCTCTAAATAGAAAATCTGCACTTCCATGCCCTTCCTCGGTGGAATGGGCTCCAATTCTAGTCACCAGGACCAGACGGTACTCACCCAAGAGTTCTGAAGGCTATCCAATATGAAATTTCTCAACTACTAAGTGTATACATAACCTATTGCTTCAATCAGCCTCTGTACCACATGACTTAGTATACCTAACACCACCTTTTTAAAAAAAAAATACTCCAGATGTGATCCTGGCAGTATTATGTGCAGTAAGCATAATTTCAGTACAAGACCAATTAGCTGAAACTATATTATTAGAGACATAGATAAATGCTACTTGTTGGGGAAATCAGCACAATCTTTTTTATAAGAGAGAAATCGTGTCTTACCAAGTTCCCAAAATTCTTTTACGGGGTCAAGAAACACTGGACAAGTGTGATCCTATGCATATAGTGTACTTTGATTTCAGAAAGCCTTTGACTAGGTCCCTCGCCACAGGTTCTTAAGCAAAGTTATCAGTAATGGGATAAGAAAGAAGGTTCTCATGAATAAGCAGCTGGTTAAAGGACAGACAACAAAGAGTAAGAATAAATGGTCAATGTTAAGAATGAAGAGAGGCAAATAGCACATTCCACTGAGGATCTGTACTGAAACCTATTCTGTTCAACAGATCAGTAAATGATCTGGGAAAAGGGATAAACAGTGAGGTGGCAAAGTCTGCAAATGATAAAAGTTTATTCAAGATAGTTAAGTTCAAAGCTGATTGCAAAGAGTTACAAAAAAATCACACAAAAACTTGCTTAGGGAAACAAAAAGGCAGATAAAATTCAATATTGGAAAATGGAAAATAATACACATTGGAAAAAAATCCCAGCTATACATAGAAAGTGATGCATCTAAATTAGCTGTTACCAGTCAAGAAAGATATTGGGGTCACTGTGGATAGTTCTCTGAAGGCAGCTGCTCAGTGAGAAACAGCAGTTAAAAAGTTAACAGAACCTTAGGAACCATTAGGAAAAGGGATAGATAATAAGACAGAAAAATATAACCCCATTATACAATCCATGGTATGCCCACATCTTGAATACTATACGCAGATGTGGTCATCTCTCAACAAAAATATACCAGAACTGAAAAAAGTGCAGAGACGGGTAACAAAAATAATTAGGGCCATGGAACAGATTCCTTATGAGGAGTAGTGAAAAAGGATGGGATTGTTGGGGGGGGGGGGGAGGAGGGACATGACAGAGGTCTATACAATAATAAATGGTGTGAAGAAAGTATGTTTTCAAGATGCCCAGAGACAAAGGGCTTCTACTGGATTGGGGACAGTCTGGTTGGATGGTCATATCTGTCTCCCAATTCTTCTTACTAAATAATGAGGAAGAACACCAAGAAGATTGTGCCTAGCCAAATATTAGAACAGCAGCAGCCCAAATCCACACAAAATGAAGATCAGTTCCAGAATGGCTAGAAGAAGCAGTGAAATGTTTCTGTTCTTCCTAGAAAGGCATTCTGTCATTTTCAAAGAAAAAACTGGAGGCAAAGAGAAAAATGACCTCTACAAGTTACAAGAGTTAACTAGATATGCCAAAATCTTCTGCCTCCAATCGGTGCTAATGATATGAAATGACAAAAAAAAATCAAATGATATGTATCAGTTTCTGGGATAAAAAATGAAACAAAATACAGGACTATGGATAAAAAATGAATGCTTAATTAACATATTAGAAAAATATTTCTCTGAAAATGTCTGTTATATATAGTGTTGTCATATGTATTCTGCTTTTTACAAGAGATAAGCAGCCTTGTGTTTCACAAATCAACACTACAAAATGATCTGCAACAACTGCTACTTGGTTTCCTTAAGCTAATTTATAGTACTCCACATATTTAAAAAAAGATTATAAAATACTACTACTCCTGTCTACTCAACAATCATTAAGCATTTGATACAGTGATAATGCACCACTGGAAAAATTCACTGACACTAATTTTAGAAATGCTGGATATGCCAGTTTTAAGATATATTATCTTCTGTTCATAACAGTTTTGAGATTTTTAGACTTTAAATGATTTTTATATTCTAAGAGAAAGCAAGTAAAGTCCAAATCCATCATGACAAAAAATACTAAATTACTATTCTAACTCTGTAACTGTAACCCTTGTTTCTTCCCATCACCAACCTTCTCTCATTTCTATCCACATATTGTAACATGTCTGAGTTAGACTATAAATTCTTCAGAGCATGTCCCATGTCTTTAAATCACAAGCCACATTTAAGGACTAATGTTAACATCTTCATTTACATTGATTCAAGGTGAGAGAAAGGAAAAGGCCACCATTTTTGACATTCGCCTATTTAACAGACAGTTTTATTTAAAAGTTGCTTATTTATAAAACAAAAATATATTATAATCACACAAAAAAGGTAAGTACGAAAAATTATATTTCTCATTGCCTCAAGGAGTTAAAATGCAATTATAAATAGGTGAACTTCAACGTTTGTGCTAATTTTTTTTAAGAGTAAACAACTTAGTAATAGATTATGTTGAATAATAAACAATCACACTTCAGAAGAAATAAAACATGCAGACAGAGGTAACAGTTGTAAATAATACTTATTTATGCTCAAGCTATGTGCTCAACATTGCAATGCAAGTGATCAAGATTGAGAGAGCACCACACACATGGACAGTTTAAATTTGGATAATTGCCTGGTATGTCAATATTATCCTCTGTTTCCTTTTCCTGAACTTCTAAGTCCTCCTCAGGTGGATGGATTATTACTGTGGGAATATCATCACTGGCAGGAGACACTAGCAGTTCCTTGCCCTGAAGCTGACTCGGCTGGGAACTTGTGGTTGCCAGGCGGCCGCTGCTAGGACTGGAGGGTGGAGTGTTTTGAGGGGTAGGCAGTGGGGTTGTACACCTTGAGTCAGCCGGGGTTCCAGCTCTTGAAGAAGGAAGAAGGTAATGGAGAAGAAGGGACAAACGTTTTTCTCCTTTCAGGGACATATTTGAGGCAGAGAGACCTGTTCGCAAAGAGTGGTGGGAGGCTGAAAGGCCTTCCCCTGAGATAAAATAAATAAATGAAACACAATGAAGTTTACAGAAAAGGAACAAGCTTTTAAGAAGACAAATTATACATGTACAATTTACACAGTAAACTGCAATCTTTTAAAGGCAAAGTGTCACATTCATGCAGGTGAGATAAGAGTTAAGATATAAGAGTAAATCAGATGTTTTAGATATTAGAAAAGTCAGTATATATCTTACTCACAAGTATCAAGTAGCACATAACGGGGATTTAGAGAAAAGGATATGGGCAGTAACTGCTTTAAATAGGACCAATAAGAATTTAGCATATTATTACAAAATATTGACATCTAAAACAGTTATTTCATTAGATGTTAAAAAGGAAAAAAATCAAGTTATATGTGTCTGTACTGGAAGATTTTTTTGCCAAGCTAAGACATAATGCTACTGTGATAATGTCAGCTTAGGAGACCTGGAAGAATTTGTACCACAAACTGAATATGATTACTTAGACTGCTGAGAGAGCTTCTGCAACTCACTTTACTTCCCTATAGCTCAATGCCTCTCTATGGAAAGTGCTATACAAAAGCCAATAAAGGGGAGGAAGGAAATTGTTATTGATATTTCAGTAAAACTTAGTCAAGGAAAAAGGCAGACATCAGGTTTCCAGGTTAAAAATAACCTACTAAATCTAACCTGAAGGCAGCCTGCTACAGTCCATTTTGGTGGGGAGGGAGGGTAATTTCTGTGCAGAACATTAATTCTGCACAAGTTCCACATAGCGCAAGTGTGCAGAATTCCCCCAGCAGTATTATCATCTAGATCAAATTATTTCCTCTTTGTGTTATGGTGAAATATACAAGTGTTAAACTAAACTAAACTCCCCTGTCTCTCTCATTACAATCCTATTCATCTACTTAATCTCTGGTTTCTCACCTCTGGCACACAATGCAGTCTCTCTTTATCCTCATTTCCCCTCTATTCTAAAATGGAGAATAGAGTCAAATGGATGTTTGTTATTCCCTACCAGAGAAAAAGATTCCAAACAGTACTCTATCTTTACCCCACCATTTTCCATGGGAAGAGGGGGTTTCTAGAGAAGACTGCAACTCCCAAATGTGCATGAGTACATACACAATGAGTGGTGCCCCATCTCAAAGCAATGATGAATTCTGCTAAGGACCTGAAGGTGAACATCTAGCTCTTATATTATGACGCAGGGACCAAAAAAACCTGATACTCATTCAGTATTATCACATGCACATACTGAACAATCCTAAAATCTTTTTGGGGGGAATGAGGGAAGGAAGAGCAGTATTCAGAATCCAATGTAATCTATAACCTAAAATTCAACAACATTTTTTTTTCAGGACCAGGAAAATATCTTACATGCATATCATATTCTCTGAAGCACTGTTTTCTCGGGATCTACATGTATAGATTTGGCATATGTTACTTAGACTTGTATCCGTGCAGTTTTCTAGCAAGTTTCAATATACATACTGAACAAAGCATCAGTCACATTCATTGCAACTGAAGTCTGCACTATCGGTTCAAAGTTTAGGACTGTTTTCTTCCTTTTAGAAAGTAAGAAGTCTGAAACACGTTAGCAAGAAATTGTTTCCAGTATGTGCTGACTTCAGATACTGTCCAGTTTTTCCAATCCCCAGTATACATTAGGAAACTACCCAGAAGAGCTCTATGACACAAATCCAACACAGCACACATCAGTACTTAGAACAACTCAAGAAAATATGTTCCAAGGCAGCAGGCATAACACATCTTGCACCAGAATGGTCAAGAATCCAAATACTTCATTTTTAAGAGAGACAATTAGGCTCAGTAATTGTCTCAATATTTCAGTCCTTATGAGGACAAAGTTCTCAAGTCAACTAGTAAATGTTGTGGCGGATGCTATTGGAAATCCAAAACAGAAGATGGCCTAGGAGAAAGGCAGAGGCCACAAAGGAAGAATAAAAGGTAAGACAGGCTGTCCTGGAATGGTAATGTTGGAATGTAGAAATTGAACACCTGGAAGAAAAGCATCAGGATGCCAGAGTTTTGTCAGAAATTAACAAGAGACAGGAGACATCCTGTGAAGCTGTTTTTTGTCTAGGTTCTACTCTATCAAACAAACCTTAGCTAGAGGTAGTTGATTATTTTTAATTAAAAATAAACTCTTTTTGGACAATTATTCAAAAGCAAAACTCAAGTAATATGAACATAATTAAAATAAAAATTAAAGCTCCACTAAGGATGTTAAATTTAGATCAACTAATCAAATAGTTGATGCAATGTGCATCGACTATTAGATTAGTCGATAAGGGCACCTCTGCCTTTGAAACGTAGCAAGAGCCCTGCCAGCTCTTGCTAAATTTTAAAGGCAGAAGTGCTGCAGGGAGCATGGGACCCCGCTTACCCTGTGCTTCCTGTTCTTGAAATGTGCATTTCAAAAACAAAGCATGTGGGGAGCATGGGGCCAGCCAGGGACTGGAGGACATTTCAAAAACAGGGAGCACGGGGCCAGCTTGGGACTGCTTGAGTCCCTCCGTCACCCCGTGCTCCCACAGCATTTCTGCTTATGAAATGAAGCAAGAGCTCTGCTCTTGCTACATTTCAAAGACAGAAGCACCACCAGTTCCCTGCTGTGCTCCTGCCCCCCTCTGGCCCTGCCAACAGAGACAGTGCTGGGGGAAACTGGCTTTTAAGCTGCCTATCGGATAATTGACTAGTCACATACATCCCTACATTCTACTGCTCATTAAGAGCACCATGATTAAACAGGTCTCAAATATAAAAATACGGAATCAGAAGCTGTGATCTGATCACCATTCTCCTGAATGCACATGAAGTTTTGCCTGGGTGAGGTCATAAGGTGACTTTAAACCTTCCAAATATATCCTGTCAAAGTATTAGGACCAACTGAATATATTGCTGAAGTAGAGAAAATGCTATTTATACATCTTAACTAGAATTCCATTTCTGTCAGTGGCCACAAGTCACAGATTCTGTGACTTTCCACAACCTCTGTAACTTCTACAGTGGCCAGTGTGACTAACCCCAGACCCTAAGTTCAAGTGGCCTCAGGGACAGCCATACCAGCTCTGCTTGGGTGACCCCATTGCCTGTTGTACCAGCCACCGCTTGGATAGCCCGGGAACTGTCCAAGGAGCAGCCAGTGTAACTGATCCTAAGGACTGCCCGAGCTATGGTTCCAGGGTGGCCAAAATAGCTACTGCTTGGCAGCATCTATCAGCCAGAGCCACTGGCCCTGCCCCCCTTTCCCTGAGCAGCAGTGGCCCTCAGCAGTGATCACCTCAAAATTTAGTCGGGGGTTTATAATATAAGTCATGGACATGTCACAGGTTGTATATTTTTATTGATGGCTCATGACATGTCCATCACTCATACTATGAACACCTTTGACTAAACTGCGGCCTTATTGATAAGAGACAACTAAACTATACTATAGTTTAAATGAAGACAGTAAGTCAAGACATCTTGCAGGTTATAAGAAGCAAAACAAGACTTTACACATGCAAAATATAGGTACCGTCCAAACTCTGCAAAAGAGCCACCACACAACTTTTACATACCAAGGAGGACTCAGAAAACGTGTCCACTTATCTGCTGCCTTCGCCCACCACTCCCATGTTAATGTATTTTTTGTTACAAGTTAGAATAAATTGGATGCTACAACTTATCTCACCATTTCGCTCAAGCAAGTGAGGGTCAGAATATTTCTTGCCTATATCTGCAAAGGACCGAACCAGAGGGATCCGACTGCTGAATTTCTTCTCGTTCTGGTGATGGTGTCTCTTGAGGAGAGCTTCTCTGACATGCTCTCTAATGGACTCATCCAGCTGACCAGAAGCAATCATGTTGTCCAATACCATATCTATCATGAAAAAGAAACTAAAATTAACTCAAAGCTAAATATATGCATACCCAACATCATCACATGAATTCATATCTGAAAATAAACAGTGAAACTAATTCATGTAGAATCTTCAAGTCTATTTTATTTGATAATGATTCCACTGAAAATGTATAGGCACGAATATCGTGGGCTAACAGTTCAAATCTATACACTTTGAGCAAATGCTTCTCTGGATCACTAACTGTATTCTTTGCAAACTACACATTTTTAAAATCTAAGCTGTATAGAAATAAGTAAGTTATTGTTAATTAGTTAAAATATATCATGAAGTGGAAACTTCATACATCTGGCAAAGCGGGCTCTAGCCCAAGAAAGCTTATAAGCTTATGCCAAAATAAATTAGGACTCCTTGTTGTTTTTGCTGAAATAGACTAACACAACTACTCTAAAACAAGACAAAGACTGTTATTCAGTCACTGAGTCCCTGCACTGGAACATAGATAGACCTGTGTGTCCAAATATTGATAGTATTATGCATGTCTTTCAGTATCTTCTAGATCAGTTTCTTCCTGTATTTACCGACTTTTTTAAATATTCCAAATATATAAGATGACTTGGAAAGTAACTACATTTCTTTTGCACTAACATCACTGAGAAATATAATCAGAGAAAATCTGCTTGTTTACTTCAAGCGTACTAAATGCTCCCACTAAAGCTAAGAAAAGAGCTGAATATAAAGAACTAAGGAGTAAAATTTTCAAAAGCACTCAAGTCATGTAGGAGATTGAGAATTCTATTGAAAACTTTTGTCCCTCCTTCTTTTGGTACCCCGTGATCATGCTGGGTTAGCAATAGGTCTGCTATGACTCAGAAGAATGCATCATTCAGTGAAATCACAAATACCAAGAAAATGGAATGAAGTTAGCCCAAAGTATCTTAAAATAAAAGCCATTTGCTAGTCTAATAGATATATACAAAAAAACTTACATCCATAAGTTTTCAAAGCTGCTTTTACCTACTTAAAATTAGAGACCACTGAAAACATTCAACATGCTAAGTTAAATAAACTTATTTTAGCTCACCTCTTTACCATTCATAAAGCAAAAATGTAAATCAAGCTGTGCAACAATAAACTGCACTAATAGCAATAGCCAACATCAGCTGAATAGTGCTTAATAGTTTATAGCACAGTACTGTGCAAATTATCCCTCAAGTATCCAGAATAATGTTTACACTTTTCCAGTAGAGAAGATGTAGAAACTATTGTTAAAACAAAGATTAAAAGACAACTTAGGGTATATACTGCAAAGGAAAGCTGGCTAGAAGACTTAGAGGTTCGGGTCTCAGACTGCTTAGCTGTTTCATTTTTGTGTAGACTTTCAGGCTTGGACTGGAGCATAGGCTCTGGGACCCTCTGAGGTGAGAGGGTCCCAAAGCTCAAGCTCCAACCTGAAACTGGAAGTCTACACAGAAATCTAACAGCCCTGAAGTTCAAATCTCGCAAGCCCAAGTCAGCTGCCATGGGCAAGCCATCCGTGTCTAGTTGCTATAGGCTTGATCCTACAGCCCTTATCAATAGTCTCCAATGGGAATCCTCATGTGAATGAAATTTTCAGAATCAAATCTTAAGACAAAAAAAACTTGTAAACATAACATAAAGATTAAATGTAAACTGTTTTTGTGTTTAAGTCCAACTATGTAAGTTAGTAAAGAGTAAACCTTTCAAAAAATGTATTACAACCTGCTATCTCATCTAATGTGTTTGCTCTCATGTCTAACATGACCGTCCCATTTAGAATACAGCTTCTCAGTTCAAAGAGACTGTGTAGAGACAGAGTTGCCACATAAGGTTTGCTCCATCGATCACCACCATCTTCTACATCCTCTTCAAATTTTAGCCACCTGAAATATAAATTTATATTATGGCATATGTATGCAACTGGAGAAACTTTTATTCTCTGTCCTTTCTAAAGGATGCAAAACAAAAGCTATTTACACCTATATCATGTCTACCCACAACTCCTTTCAGCCCCTTGCTCAATCTGTTTATTTTAATGCATCCACTATCACTCCCTCACCCATACTTGCCACTGCTTTTTTTCCATGCAATTCCTTAATGTTTTAAACACCGGCCCAGATCCACAAAAAGATCTAGGTGTTACTACTCTGAATGTCCCAGTGCATAAATTCTTGGCACCTATAACATAAACTAGAGCAACAATGGTATTCACATTGCCTGAATTCAGAGTGTAACCTCCCAACACAATAGTTGGGAGGGAGAGGCAGAGGGGCTTAACATTGATAAAAGCCAGACTGCTTTGAGGCAATGGGAAGCTGCCTAAGGTAGCCCATGGGAAATAGTTGAAGCACTCACCTGAGTCATGAGAGACCCAGGTTCAAAACCTCCAAATCCTTTCTTTCCCTCTGGCTTAGGAACAGGAATCTCCCATCTTTCAAGACAGTGCATCAGCCACAGAGCTGGGGGTCATTCTCAGGTGGATCCCCCTCCAGCTCTCCTGTTGAAACTGTTCCATTTTTGGGTAAGTAATCAGAGCAGGGAACTGAACCCCTGATCTTCCAGCTACCAGATGGGTGCCCTGATCATCACAATATAGAGTCATTCATTCTCATCTCTCTCTTTAGCCCAAAAACTCAATATTTATACAAAGTGAAATTGCTTCAATAGGAGAGACTGAGGGAGACCCTCATTGAAATCCCCCATAGTCTAGTAAATAGGGTCTTACAAAAACCCAGATGACTTCTCTAACCATTGTGCTAACCACTATAGGGAAAGTACTACCACCAGCTGAATTCAGAATGGGGCACAATGTGGTAGGCACACTCAGAGCACACCTTCTGGATCAGATACCATAGTGAAGAGAGATGAGGGAATGAATGCTTATATATTCTGCTTTATGGATCATGCTGTAGGTTAAGTGTGAGATAGTCCCTCAGGCACCTAGAATGCGGCACCAGTATGATATCCATATGTGGAAACAAAGGCACATAAGGAAATTTCACCCTGAAAATTTAGGTGCCAAGTGAGTTGAGATACCTACAGGGTTAAGCAGCAGCTGAGCAGGACTTGTGTGGATTTTAACAGCACTTAAATCCAGATGCTTAAATACCTTGTGAAACCATCCCAACACCCCTCTACCCAGGTACCAAGCATGGTTTAATCAACAGTGAACATTCCACACAATCTTTTAGCTGTATGATCTGTAGCCATCCAACAAAGATAGTACAGTTTTGGAGTCAGAAACATGTTGACAATATATAGTTTAAACACAACTATGTGTATCTATGGTACCATACTAATAAATGTTACATTAACTGTTGAAGTTACTTAAACTGCAAAGTCAAACACTCAAAAGTTAGGAAATGCCAGATTCACACATGCCCAGGAAAACCTTAAACTCTGTGCTACAGAAAAGACAGTATGTAAATATGTCATTAAAGATATATACAGAAGACTGTCACAAGGCATATGCACAAAGAGGGAAAATTAAATTTCAAAGTACCAATAACTTCCCTTCCTTCCTTTTTTAACTTTGATACAGCAAAAACAATACTACATAACTAAAATATCTTTACTCGCTGTCAGATACACCTATATTATTTATAATGCTTCATTTTAACAAATTTCATTTCCTGAAGTCAGCACAATAACAATAAAGATCTTCAGAAATTTTCTTCAGAGATGTGGAGCACATTTTCAATAAGGGGCTCGGAGAATCACTTTCAACTTTTATTGGTGTTTAATATTAATTGGGAGGCAAATTCCCTGCTCCTTGCCTTGAAAATTCTAACTAAAATTGATTTCTGAGGATAAAGCTAACAAAATCAGTGGAAAAGGTTACATAAAACAGAATTATCCATGTTTGGTTTTTACCTGGCAGTTTCTTTCCATTCATATTCTTCCCCATCCCTGAAGTACAGTTCATCCATTTCAGTGAAGAGATCATGGGGAATATGTTCTTCATCATCATCTTCAGTACCCAAAATAAACTGCACTCGTTGGGATGGGGTATCTTAAAGGGAAAAATAATGGATTTAGATGCTAACTCTTCTACTGAACAATTAACACTTTGCAACAATTAAAATGTTATCCTTCCAATCACAGCTGGAAACACGGAGTGTTGAAAATCTCTTATCAAAAGAAGATGGGAACAGTTCAAAAACTAAATACAGGTTTCCTGTAACAGTAGCTCCTCTGCGTTTTAATTGTGTTATATTTCTGAAAACAAAGGGGGGAGAGGAGAAATAAGCTACTTCAATACTCTAGTTAACTTAATTTTTCCTTCTCTGAAGGTATGTCCACAGAGCCTTCTGAACAAGGACTGCTAACAGGGAGTTTGGAGAGGGAGTTCTCCTGGTGAAGGAGGAAGCTAATACAGGACCGTTGAGGGAAGTGGCTGCGTGTAGTGTGTGTTTGTGTTTGGGGGTTTCTTGCTGTTTTCTGAGCTTGTGTTTGGCTGTTTGGGTTCCCCCACCCTCTTTGCCTTCCCTCTTCCCCTCCCACAGAGTGTGTGCTGTGCCTGGCAAGTGGAAGCTGTGAGCTTCTTATTAGGGTTTGAAATCTAAAAGTCTCTGCTCATTGGCTGAGCTCTAATCAGGGGGAGGGGTTAGCAGGCAGTCCAGGGCTTTATAAAGGAGTGAGTCAGCAACCACGGACTGCTAACAGGGAGTTGGGAAGGAGAGTGAGAAGGGGGTGAGATACACACTCACCATTCTTTAACATCTTTTTGCTATACTCCTGCCCTTCAAGGAGGCACTGAATAACATCTGAGGAAGGAAGGCAGGTCTGGATAGTGATAGGCCTGCTGTTGTTACCTGCACAGCATGTGCGATGTTTGTATTCCTCCAGGAAGAAGGGATTTCATCTGCACTAAGTGCAAGCTGCACACCATTGAAGAAAAAAAAATTAGGGGACTTGAGGCCCAAGTATTGACCCTACGTTCCATCAAAGAGGATGAAAACTTCCTCGATAGAAGGCAGCATTTAATCCTGCAGACACAGCAGGCTGAAGAGCCAGTCAGGGCAGTAAAGGACAAGGAAGAAAACCGGCTGGATGTAACCTCTAGAAGGCGGCGGCCAATTCAGGTCTCCCCCATTTATGTAGAGGTAAGTAACTGCTTTCAGGCTCTCTCCACAGGCACTGTGGTGGAGAATGCTGTGGCAGGGACCTCTCAGGGAAGAAATCATAAGGGAACATTATCTACCGGAAGGCATGGGATGCATTGTCCTAGAATTGGGGGTTCCACGACCACCACACCCAAAAGAAGAAGAAGAGGGGTGGTGGTCGGAGACTCCCTCCTAAGAGGGACTGAGTCATCCATCTGCCATCCAGACCTGCAATATCGAGAAGTGTGCTACTTACTGGGAACTTGCATTCAGGATGTGACCGAGAGTCTTTTGAAAGTGATTAAACCTTTGGATCGCTACCCCTTCCTGCTTCTCCATGTAGGAACTAACGATACGGCCAAGAATGACCTTGAGCGGGTCACAGCAGATTATGTACCGCTGGGAAGAAGGATCGAAGAATTTGAAGCGCAAGTAGTGTTCTCGTCCACCCTTCCAGTTGAAGGAAAAGGTCCCATTAGGAATCGTCGAATTGAGGAAGTAAATGGTGGTTGTGCAGGTGGTGTCGGAGAGAGGGCTTTGATTTCTTCAACCATAAGACTCTGTTCTGGGCACAAGGATTGTTAGGAAGAGATGGGATCCACCTAACCAAGAAAGGTAAGAGCATCTTCGCAGGCAGGCTTGCAAATCTAGTAAGGAGGGCTTTAAACTAGGTTCATTGGGGGACGGTGACCAAAGCCCAGAGGTAAGTAAGGAAGTTGAATACAGAGAAGAAACACAATGAGGAATGAGCAACAAAGGAGGACCCCAACTCAGATGGAGAAGGTAGGGCGATCAACTGGCTAAGATGTTTGTACACAAATGCAAGAAGCCTGGGAAACAAACAGGAAGAATTAGAAGCCCTAGCCCAGTCGAAGAACTATGATTTGACTGGAATAACAGAGACTTATTAGAGGGAGAAAAAACTGTTGAGAGTCTATGGGTTAAGTTTAGAGGTGGAAGCAACAGGGGAGATGTTGTGGTTGGTGTCTGCTGTAGATCGCCGGATCAGGTGGATGAGGCAGAAGAGGCTTTCTTCGGACAACTGAAAGAAGCTCCCAGATCACAGGCCCTGGTTCTCATGGGGGACTTTAATCACCCTGACTTCTCTTAGGAGACCAATACAGCAGTACACAGACAATCTAGGAAGTTTTTAGAGAATGTTGGGGGTAACTTCTTTGTACAAGTGCTGAAGGAACTGACCAGAGGCCATGCGCAGCTTGACCTGCTGCTCACAAACAGGGAGGAACTAGCAGGGGAAGTAAAGGTGGGAGACACCTGGGAAGCAGTGACCATGAGATGGGAGATTTCAGTATCCTGACCAAAGGGAAAAAGGACAGTAGAAAAATACACACTCTAGCCGTCAGAAAAGCAGATTTTGACTCCCTCAGAGAACTGATCGGCAGGATTCCCTGGGATGCTTACGTCAAGGAGAAAGGAGTCCAGGACAGCTGGCAGTATTTTAAAGAAGCCAGCTTTAAAATTAAAGGCACAGGAAGAAACCAACCCGATGCGCAGCAAGAAAAGCAAATATGGTAGGCAACCAGATTGGTTTACAGGGGACATCCTTGGTGAGCTTAAACACAAAAAGGAAGTTTACAAGAACTTGAAACTTGGACGGATGACTAGGGAGGAGTATCAATATATTGCTCAAGAATGCAGGGGACTTACCAGGAAGGCGAAAGTGCAATTGGAATTGCAGCTAGCAAGGAATGTGAAGGATAACAAGAAAGGTTTCTACAGGCATGTTAGCAATAAGAGGGTCATCAGAGAGAGTGTGAGGTCTTTACTGAAGGAGGAAGGTAACATAGTGCCAGAAGATGTGGGAAAAGCTGAAGTACTCAATGCTTTCTTTGCCTGTGTCTTCATGGACAAGGTCAGCTCCCAGACAAATGCAGTAGGCAACGCAGTATGGGAAGGAAGTGGACAGCCCTTGGTGGGGAAAGAACAAGTGAGGAACTATTTAGAAAAGCTAAACATACACAAATCCATAGCCCCAGATTTAATGCTTCCGACGGTACTTAGGGAGTTAGCAAATGTCGTTGCGGAGCCTTTGGTCATCATCTTTGAAAACTCGTGGAGATCAGGAGAGATCCCGGATGACTGGAAAAAGACAAATGTAGAGCCCATCCTTAAAAAAGGGAAGAAGGACAATCCAGGGAACTAAATACCAGTCAGCCTCACATCAGTCCCCGGAAAAATCATGGAGGGGATCTTCAAGGAATCCATTTTGAAGCACTTGGAAGAGAGAAAAGGGATCAGGAATAGTCAGCATGGATTCACATGCCTGACCAATCTGATTAGCTTCTATGATGAAGTAATTGGCTCTGTGGATATGGGAAAGTCAGTGGATATGATATACTTGACTGTAGCAAAGCTTTTGAGACAGTCTCCCACAATATTCTTGCCAGCAACTTAAGGGAATATGGATTGGATAAATGGACTGTACGATGGACAGAAATCTGGCTAGACTGATCGCTACCCGTTGGGCCTGACAACAGCTCGATGTCAGTTTGGCGGTCAGTTTCTTGCAGAGTGCCCCAAGGATCTGTTCTTGGACTGGTTTTGTTTGTCATCTTTATTAAGGACCTGGATGAGGGGATGGATTGCACCTTCAGCAAGTTCGCAGATGACACTAAGCTAGGGGGAGAGGTAGAAACGCTGGAGGGCAGAGTTAGGGTCCAGAGTGACCTGGACAGATTAGAGGACTGGGCCAAAAGAAATCTGATGAGGTTCAACAAGGACAAGTGTAGAGTCCTGCACTCTTGGGACAGAAGAATCCCAAGCATTGTTACAGGCTAGGGACCGAACGGCTAAGTAGCAGGTATGCAGAAAAGGACCTGGGGATTACAGTAGATTAAAAGCTGGATATAAGTCAATAGTGTGTCCATGTAGCCAAGAAGGCAAATGGCATATTAGGGTGCATTAGGAGGAGCATTGCCATCACATCCAGACAAGTGATTATTCCCCTTTATTCGGCTTCGGTGAGGCCACATCTGGAGTATTGTGTCCAGTTCTGGGCCACCCACTATAGAAAGAATGTGGACGCATTGGAGAGGGTCCAGCAGAGGGTGACCAAAATGATTAGGGGGCTGGAGCACATGACCTATGAGGCGAGACTGAGGGATTTGGGTTTGTTTAGTCTGCAGAAGAGAAGCGTGAGGGGAGATTTGATAACATCCCTCAACTTCGTGAAGGGAGGTTCCAAAGAGGATGGAGAAAGGCTGTTCACAGTAGTGACAGATGGCAGAACAAGGAGCAATGGTCTCAAGTTACAGTGGAAGCGGTCTAGGTTAGTTTTTCCTAATATCCATTTCACGAGGAGGGTGGTGAAGCACTGGAGTGGGTTATCTAGGGAGGTGGTGGAATCTCCACCCCTAGAGGTTTTTAAGTCTCCACTTGACAAAGCCCTGGCTGGGTGATTTAATTGGGATTGGTCCTGCCTTGGGCAGAGGACTGGACTTGATGACCTCTTGAGGTCTCTTCCAGCTCTATGATTCTATGATCCTCAATGTTGGATATCACCAGTCTGCAGCTGACTGGAAGGCTAAGTTCTAGTACCTGGTGGAGACCTCTTTAGTTTTAAGATACTTCCGAAACGATCATCTCTGAACTATAAACAAAATACATTTCTCATCCTACATGGGCACTTTGTAATAATGATAATAATACTTAATGTGAGATGAACAAGAAGCGTTTAGCCATAAGGTAAACAGATACAGTATACTTATTTCAGGGAGGGCTAGATTTGCAGACCTCTCTTGAAAAGAGGAGGAAAGAAAAGAAAATGAAAGAAAATGTTCAGGTAACCAACCACTAATACTCCATCCTTTCAGGGTGATGTAAGATTTCTCAGCAGACACAAAATTCCTAGGAAGGGAATAAAACAACACAGAGAAAGCATTCCCCTTACACTCTCATGAATTACCACTATGTTCAGGGCCTGCTAGCCAAAGCTGAGGTCAGCAAAAGACTGAGTATTTGTCTTGTAAAACTTGATAATGTATGCAAGTTGCAGATTTCATCATAAAGGACCTGCCCTTTCCCCACCCACCACTGCTTGTACTGTGTACTTCATTATCTTTAGCATACTTCATTATCTTTAGTTCTGGAAAAATGTATATTTTTCTTTAATTCCAAGAAGGATCACACACATTGAGCCACCAATTTCAAGTGCTTTTGGAGAATAAGGTTATAATTCAAAATGATCTGGACAAACTGGAGAAATGGGTAATTAGACTGCAGCTCAGTAAGGACAAGTGCAAAGTACTCCATTTACAGAGGAACAATCAGTTTCACAAATCCAGAATGGGAAGCTATTGTCCAGGACGGAGTACTGCAGAAAGGGATCTAGGGGTCATAGAGGACCACAAGCTAAATACGAGTCAACTATATGACACTGATGCAAAACAAGCAAATATAATTCGGGGATGTATTAACAGGAGTGTTAGCAAGACACAATTTTTCCGCTCTACTCTGTGCTGGTGAGGCCTCAACTGGAGTATTGTGTCCAAGAAAGATGTGGAGAAAATGGAAAGGCTCCAGAGAAGAGCAAATAAAATGATAAAGTTCTAGGAAACATGACCCATGAGGGAAGACTGAAATAACTGGCTTTGTTTAGTTTGGAAAAGAGAAGACTGAAAGGGGACTTGATAGCAGTTTTCAAGTAGCTAAAAGGGTGTCACAAGGAGAAGTGAGAAAAATTATTCACCTTAACCTCTGATGACAGGACAAGAAACAATGGACTTAAATTGTGGCGAGGGAGGTTTACTTAGGACATCAGGGAAAAATTAATAACAGTCAAAGTGGATAAGCACTGGAATAAATGGCCTAGGAAGGATTTAAATCTCCATCATTGTAGGTATTTAAGAGCAGATAAACATCTGTCAGAGATCATCTAGATGGTACTTGGTCCTGCCATAAGTGCAGGGAGCTGGACAGGATGGCCTCTCAAGGTCCCCTTCCAGTTCTGGCATTCTATGATTCACAAAGAACGATCTCCTCTCACTGTTATGACAGACCTGTCTAGCTCCACCAAAGCATCCCTCCCTGGAATCACTCTGAGGGGAAACAGCTTGTCCCATACATTTCTTTTCTAGTCCTGCCTGCCTCTTTTCCTGATGAGACAACCCTATCCAGCCTGTGTTGCATCTTGCTCATCAGAGATGGCCTATTAAATCATGACCAGAGTAGGCTGTGAGATTCTACTCACATAGCTGGCTAAGCTCCCTATCAAGGTATTCAGAGACAAAGTGTTTCTTATTGGTTCTGGCATTTTCTCATCCTGACTCTTTGAAGCCTGAAGTGGCAAACCTTCAGAAGAGGGGTGAAACAGAAGGGAAAATCTCCAAAGTCAAATCTGGCCCTGGACCACGTTTGGGGATTAGAGAAATTGGCCCAAACTGTTATTTTAAAATTTTGAAAACAAGTCCAAAATTTCCCTCAGAAAATCTCTATAGCAGGAAGTTTGGCCTGAGCCATTGGCCACCACAGGGGCAGAAAAAGCTCAAGGGAATTTCAAGAGGAGAGACACTCCCTTGCTTTCAGTTACTGTTAAGTCTTGTACAGTACTGCCTTCAAGCTGCAAACTGGCTGAAGTATTCATTGTAAGAGATCTGTGGACCTCAGCACAATGTGACTGCTAAAACACTATTGGTGTTATGTATAATACAACAAGGAAGAGCAATACAAGACCACAAAAACATGAGAATTTTTGATATGCAATCAATCTACAGATGTAAAAAAGATGTAAAAAATGACAGTTGTAATTATATAATCCGACTTCCTGTTACTCTAGAGGAAATAAATCTTCACCAAGAAATACCCACACAGAGCCAAATAACTTGTGGTTTAAATAGATCATAGCCGCAAAACCTCTGCCTGCTATTAACAGTAATTCCCCTTCAATTCATCGCAGATACTTTCATATCTGAAAAATATTATGAATAGTGAAGAGTGCAAGGTTTAATAATCTAGGTTAGCTATTATTTAGTGTAGGGGAGGTGGGTTAAGTGACATGAAAAAGCCATATAAAGCAAAATTTGCTTACCATACGATGGAGATTCTCGACCATCTTCTCTATCAGTTTCTCTCTCTTTTCTTCTTCTGTGATGCCTATGCCCACGATGCCTATGACGTCGACGTCCCTCCTTTCCAAATGGGACATGTACACCAATGTACACAGCTCTGTGGCCTGTCAAGTATAAAAGGGCGCAATAAAAGTGTATGAAGAACTATCCTGCCCAGATTTACAATACTATGTTACAAAACCAAGAAACTTACAAATACTTAGCATCTTTACATCACTAATACCACTATTCAGTTTCCTTCAGTCTGTTACAGGGCTCAAAGAATTGGAGGCTTAGAATCTTCCCCAAAGTGGGTCATGTATTGCAGTCTCTGCTCGCTCTTGCCACAACACAGAAGATCCAGTTACACAATGCTACATCAGCCTTTCATGTCAGAATATTCCATCTTTATTCTCAATATTGGGATACAATGCTTTACACAGCTGAGATCACTATGTAATATGCAAATTATGGGGCAGAAAAGTCAAAGAAAGTTTACAGGGGTTTCTGGGTCCCTGACTTGTGCTCAAGCCTGTAAAGTAAAGGTCCAGTGGCTCCTCTCAAATTGTGAGCTCTGAGAACAAGGCATGCAGTACTACAAACACAGCCCCTAAACAAATACGGTACAGGCCCTGGTTCAGGGCAGGGAAGCCAAACAAACATAATCCCACAGTTAATATGGCCTGCCCAAGATTAGAGAGGGGTTCTTCCTCCTCAGGGGCAGTGAGCGACCACCCCTGCTCACTACATGCCCTCATTTTGCCAGCTGAGGTGCACCAGACCAAAATCCTGACTACAACATTCCTGAGGCAGAGCTAGTACACAGACTGCTGGCAATCCTAAACAGGCATACTAAGAGCACTTCACCAGATGCCTATTTTCCCACTCAAAGGATACTATACAAAAGGTTGTTCCATCCATCACTCAGATTTTGTAGTTAATTTTCTTTAACTGAAACAACTCCCTGGAATTCTAAGCCCCATTTACAGTATACTATTGGTGGCTTTGACATCGGACTATTGGGCATCAGACTGGAAAGGGGAGCACTTAAGGGATGCTCAGTGCAAACTGTAATCCCTGGGGTTTATAGAAGGCACGTGGGGTGTGAGGCCTGAGGTATCAGGAACGAATTAGGTACGCCCAGGGCAGAGGAACATCGGGCAAGAAGCACTGGCTTCTCTCGTCCCACGGATGTCTCTCCCACAGGCTAGAGCAAGAGGGCGGTGCAGCCCAAAGTGCCCTTTCTCCCCAGAAGTATGTAGAAGGGGTCACAGAGGGCTGCCTCCCGACAATGGCCTAACTTTCAGAAGCATCATTTTAATTAGTTACCTAAATACGGATTTGGGGGACAAGATTTGGACAACCAAGTTTGAAAAGATGCTGTAATACTGTACTAGCAAACAGTCAATACAAATACTACTTTTTCTTATTCCAAAAACTTATTTAATGAAATGTAAATAAAGTCATCTCAAATCAAAGAATATTGGTCGTAAAACAAATAAGGAAGCAAAGGAAGAAAAAATGCACTTCTGTAGATTTTATTGTCAATAGCAAGCTATTTTCAAATTGGAAGTTTTTCTTCATCTCTTTTTTCATGACTCAAAGCCTTATATATTTAGACAATACAGGCAGATTTGATGAAAGCTAGTAATAGTAATACATTCTAATATGAAACATACAATGAAATATTAACCAGGGATGTCAGATAGGGTGTAATTGAATAGTCATGTAACCGCATCAAATTTTAGTGGTTACGGACCTATTTGAGAGTCCCTGGGGATAGGGACAGCAGCCAGTGTGCTCCTGGCCCCACTCCTGGAAAGACCCTTCCACTCCATGCTTCTGCCTCTCTATCAAAGGCAGCAGTGCAGGGGTGGGGTGGGAAATGGATCCAGTACTCGTGGGGAACTAACTTAAAGCAGGCTCCCCATGGGCATCAGCTCCCATCCCCCCAGACGGGAGCGGAGAGGAAGGGAGGAGGAAATGTGTGTAGTTGACAGGATTAACAGATAAAGCCAGGCTTATTGGGTTAATCATGTAATCGTCTACATGTTGGCATTCCTAATATTAACCATATGTAATCTTTTCAAGTCCTTTTGAAACAACCTCATGAAAATAGTAAAATGTAGCTAGATGTAAATAGTTCAGGTCTTACTATGAAAAAGTACTAAAGAAGATTGCCTTTGCATATCTCTAACAACGGTTTCTATTTTAATCTCAGAAGAGTAGTAAGAGCCAAAAGTGTTCTAAATATCAACTCCACTGTAAAAAAAAAAATCTCAAACATTTTTAATCTTTTCTTTTTACAAGTAAACATGTTCTTATTTTACAGGAACACATCACTTGAGCTACGAAAATTTGGGACTGAGAATCATAAACTGAGATTTTTACAATACTGCAATAGTGTCCACACAGTGAGAATTACCACATAGCAAGTTACCACTGTAGATTCACAGCTTAGCTTGTCATACCGTAAAATGGAATTCTAAACACATGACATTTATTCAGAATCACCAAAGGGTCAAGTGGCTATGATGAATAACAACTATTGGCAACAAATCTGCTTTCACATGAATGCACTAATGCAGCTTGATATAGCATGGCTCATACGTAATATAATTATGATAATTTTTAGTTTACATTTTTAAATAGAATACAGCAATCCTATGATAGTGTGCTTTTAGATGTAAAGTATTTTGGTTTATTTTTTAAAATATGAAAAAAATCTGGGGAGTACAGGCACTTCCTACTTTAATTTTAATTTTAATATAGATAAAAAACAGTTTTCCATCAAAAAAGTTTTATGGAAAACTTTGAAAAGCCCTAATTATAGGCTAGGTCGGGGTTGGCAACCTACAGCACATGAGCCACCAATTTTCAAACGGCACACGGGGCAGGAGCTTAGCTCTGCCCCTCCTCCTCTGCAGAGTCACTGGAGCCCTCCCTCTTCCCCACAGCAGGTTAGGCTGTGGTGGGAGGAGGCAACACTGGGGCTCGTCAGTGGTGCCTCCAAAGCCATACAATCCTTGGCTGGCCCCAAAGGCCAGAGGCACCGCTGCTGCAGCCATGCGGCCTCAGGCCTGCCGGGCCGGGGAGCAGCCATACGTCACCATCTCCCAGAGCCCCGAGCTGTAGTGTGTCTCTGCCATGATGCTGAAGCAGATACAGAAAGTGAGAGTGGCTATGCCGGGCCTGGGGTGCGCTGTTGGGCCCAGGCACAGCCAATTTCAGAGGGAGGCGGGGGCGCAGCTAAGGGGAGGGGGAGTGATGGGAAGGTTCTGCTGGGGGTAGGAGCTGTATGGGAGGGGAGATGAGGGGAGGAGGA